AGGAACCGTACCTCGTTTGGTTGGTAGGTCGTAGTACTAAAACAAACGACGACAACAAAACAATAATAATAAGTACAGAAACAAACTAATACATTTACTAGTCTCTCTCTCTCTCTCTCTCTCTCTCTCTCTCTCTCTCTCAATATACACACCCCATACATAATTTATGTCTTTAGAAGGCCCAAAACTGTCCTATCTTCATCATATATCATACAGTTGGGAGTAAGCCAACAATAATAACGTATTAATTGCACCCTTTAATGGAAAGTTGTAGCAGCCACCAACCATTCTCCTCATCTCCCTCGCTCGCTTCTCAAACCTGGTCTCTTCTATTCCTTCAAAGATTTAATTATTCAGCTGGATTGCCACGTTCGAAAGAGCCCCCGCTGCTGACCTGCTACAAAAGAGGGGTATGCCGATCCCAAACAGGTGTGATGCAAATCAGAGGAAAATCAAGCAAACACCTACTCCTACATAGCTATCCAGTTTGGGGCTTGTGGAGGTTCTTGCTACAGTAATTCAACTGGACATAGCTGACTCCCTACTCTGTCCACATCTCATCCTTTTCATTAAATGTCCACCATGTTTGAGGTTGGGCATCTCCCTTTGGCATGCAAGAGTGGATGCCACCCTTTGGGATCTCGACCAAGAGGAACAACAGGATCTTCAATGGGAAGCACTGGCCATTTTTTGGCCGAGGAACAACAAAATGTTCAGTCATCACACCAACTAGGCTTTTTTCCAAGATTGACATGTCCTGAAAGACCTTAGACCACTACAAATCCCTCGCTCCTCTCTTTGGAGACCATTGAAACAGGGCCAAACCAAGGTAAATTTCGTCGGCTGCTCCCTTGGCAACTGGGTCCCATGGGCAATGGGAGCACTTTCAGAGACAATTATGGTAATATCCTACTGTCCTTTTTCATTCTAAAAAAAATGGGAAATTTACATACGGATGTATTTCTACCGTTATAGGGATGGCCCAAAAATAGGCTGTTATTACCTGGAAAGACAGATTCCTGAATTTTTTAATTTTTTCAAGTTTGCCCTCAATCCGATGTTTGCAACATTGGACTGCTCGGTAACCTCGATATTTTTACCAAATTTACAAAATATGAGGGAGGGGAGGCGTTAGATACAATAAGGGAGAGAGGGTAGAAGCCGCGACGGATGGGATGGGATAAGAAAATGTTGGAAGGATTTCTGTGTCCATTCCTCCTCGATGACCTCTCCTCTCGGGTTTTGTGTGGAATCTTTTCTTCCCCGCCTCCTAAAATCACCCTTGCCATCACCAACAGTCAAGAAAGTTTTGCACCAAAAAAAAGGAAAAGGGGGAGAAGATCCCTCAAGACATAGTCCATGCCTTGCTCCACTACTCCACCTCCAACTTGACAGGGGCATGACAGTGCGCAAGATGAGGGCCATAGCCGACATCTTCGTACGTAGATGCCCCTGCAATCTTTTGGTGTTCGATCTCGGCCACGAGAGCTTGGTCTGAAGGGCCCTAAACCATGGAGGCCAAACAGGGTTCTCGGATGAGTGAGTACTGGATTGCCCATATTGAGAAGAGGCACCCTGGGATCAAGGCCTACGACATCCAATACACCACCAAGGTCAAAAGGAGGATATGGTGAGGGTTGCAAAGGAGTAGGTGGGTGGAGACTATAGACCTGTTTAGAACTTGCTTTTTCTCAGAATGCCCCTCGCCCTAAATGACCTCTTCCTCCCTCATATTTGCAAACTTGGGGTTACCAAGCAGTCCAATGTTGCAAACATCGGACCGAGGGCAAACTTTAAAAAAAATAATAATAATTCGGGATTCCATCCTTCTAGGTAATAAGGGCCTATTTTTGGGTCATTCCATTATAACGGTAGAAAAACCCAGTCCGTACGTAAATATTTCAAAAAAAATATCCTACTGCCCTTTTGCAAGATTTAATGGCCATGTCGACTCCTCGATGGCTGAGGTTCTCGCCCTTCTTGAGGGCCTCAGAAGGTTTAACCAAGATTGGAACCCTATTTTGATAGTCAAGGGAGACCAAAAATGTCATTTAGTGGGCCTCAAGTGTCTCCCCATGTCCATGGAAATTAAAACACATTCTGACAAAATCTTCGATATATGCAGGCCTATGCAAATCTTTTGGCGAGATACGCAGCACAAGGCAAACTAGGAAGGAGCTTGTTCAGGAAGTACAACTGGGACCTTTTTCCACCCTTTGAGTGCCTGGACCTCCTTGACCTCTCTCCTCCCGCACTCAATAAAGACTGTACCGGTGTATTTCGCATGTACAAAAATTTTCAGAAGAATACCGTATTGTTTTGCTTTGTATAGAGAACCCAATTTGGCTGCCACACTCCTTTTTGTAGCAAATACGAATAGTAAACTCCCTCACAAAAGAAAACAAAGGCATTCATTTGTGACTTTTTGCGGCTTGCTGAGAGCAGTTTGATCAAGAATGGATGGCTAATGGTTCCTAGACACATAGAATATGTGTTGGGAACCATAAAAAGGCTTCACACACACACAATCAAATTTGTATAAGTTGCAACCTTAAACAATCAAATTTTATCATAAATATAGTTTTGGTGTAAAAATACTTAGTATGGCTTGAGAATCTATTTTCATCTCTAATTATAAAATCTTAAACTCTAAAGATGTTCAAATCAAGTAGTAGATCTATAAACACTTGAAAATCTTGAAAATGGACGGTCCAGATAATGTGTTGCAAGAAACACTATTTTTAGGACTCGAAATCTTTTTTTCTTTTCATATACATACATCTTGATGTCGCGATGACCAATTAGAGGGTTTTCCAATATGATGGATTTTTGAGGTGCACCGTATTTCTACATTTTAAGGATGCAACCATTTATAAACTTTCTATATATATATGTATGCATATATATATAGGGTGCGGTTTATATAGAGCCTAGGCTCTAAACAATCAAATTAGAGCCTACCTTCAAATAGTGTTGAGAAATGTGGTTTCAATATTGTAAATCTTTGTGATAGACTTAAAATATATTTTTATATTTATTTATAAATTTTAAAGCTTCAAAAATAGTGGAGATCGATCAATCTATGAAAACTTGAAAATCTTGAAAATTGACAGTCCAAAAATGCATTACAAAATACACTATTTCCAAAACTTGAAATCCATTGTTTTTCATGTGCCAACATCTTGATGTCGAGATGATCAATTTGACGATATTTGGGCGTCAAAACAACCTCTTCTAGTGAAATGTTTGTGGTAGGCTCAAATTTGATTGTTTAGAGCCTTAACTCTATATAA